ACACACGCACACACACACTCTCCGAAGGGGCGTGGCGTATTACAGGGTATATATAGACTTAAATTTCTGGTCAGCTGCTGCCGCAGAAAATACTTCAAAGGCGTGACAGCTGTACGGTGCAGGTTTTTCGCTTGCTTCCTCTTTATATTTTTGTTTCTTGTGGAGGGCTGCTCCGATATACATATATATATATATTTATATATATATGAATATATGTATGTATCTGCCCGCTTTTTAACGTCGCTTCACCAATTTTTGCGAATTGATCACAATTTCACGGTTCCACATATAACGGTATCCACAGTGTGGTATCATGCTCACAATGTCCTTAGCGCACGCAAACGATTGCCGGACGTAATTTTGACCCAGCTTCTTTAGAGCGGGCGCGAGCGAGAGCGAGATAGTCGGACACAGAGGCAGACAGAGCGACCGAGCGAGCGAGACAGAGAGAGCGTGAAAGGTATGTTATATGTCGCACGAATCAGCTACATATAGTTGGCTTTTGTATGAAACACCTCAAACGCACGCGTTTCGTTTTGTTTGGCGCCGTCGTCGCACTGTTTGAAAGCCAATTGCCTTTCAAATAATATAAAAATCAAATTCTATTCCAATTTGATTCCAATTCGGTTCCAATTGAATTTCACGTTATTTTCCGTTTCACGTATTTGTATTTGTATTTTTTTATTTGCGCGTTTTTAAAACGCCACGACGTGCGTCTTGCTTGTTGTTATTGTTTTCGTTTTATTGTTTTTTTTCGTCTGTCTGTTATTGTCTTTTTTCGCTTGAAGGCAGTTTCTTTGTTTCCAGCTGCTGCTGTTGTTATTGTAATTGTAACCAAAAGCCGTGCTTGTAGCCAAGCGCACGCACGCGTCAGAGTAACAAATTGTACTGAGCTTTGTGCGCAGAGCGCGCATGGTTTTGCTCTGATCAAGTCAGAAAAAATACACACAGAGTGAAAGAGAGTGGGAGAGAGTGTACGTGCGGCAGAGAGTGAGCGCATGACTGTGTATGTATGTGTGTGGGAGACAACAGCCCTGTAATAAGATCAATCCCAAGCGCTGCTCTGACGCTCGTACAGCTAGCCGAACGAACAACAAAAAAACCGAAGCTCACAAATCAAAGAATTGGCACAGTGGCACAAAGAGCAAAAGACATTGTTCAAAAATTTCAATCAGCTATTTTTTCGTATTTTTGATTCAAAAATTAAAATGAATCCAGAAATTTTAAAGAAATGTGAAATATGAGACAAAAATAATTATAATTTTTAAATAGTCTTTATCTATTATATACCATAAAATAGTGTAAATGTAATCTAAATATATCCGAATAGTTAATTAGTTTCATTAAAATGATACGGCATTTTTTTCAATTTCAAATATTTATCATCTATAATATGAATTTCTACATGGTTATTTAGATACTCTTTCTATCAGCTAAGTTATAGTTTTTTTTAATGGTTTTATAGTATTATCACTTTCAATGGCTTGAGGATAAAATGAAAAATTAATTAAATCTTAAATCAACTAGTTCTCTTTTTAGTAAATACAACTATTTTGATTCAGTAATTGTTTATTTTTTATTTCCAGAAATTTTTTTTTGATATTTCTTACATATATTTATAATAGAAAATCCCTGGGTTAATCCCCATCCAAAAGGCCCCCCAAAATCAATGATAAGCTCAGATTTTATGTATATATATAACAGTATATTCGACGATTATAGACCTCAGCGTGTGTAAAAAGGTGACGTTCAATGAACTCGACATGGGGCATGCAGCAGGTAAGCGATCGAAGGAAAAGTGATCTATGCATTCATCTATAATTCAAGTAGATTTGTTTGCTTTATAAAGACTATATATAATTGTGTCCACGATAAGCGTTGCGCTTGTGTCAGGGCTCCAGAAGCAAATGCAATAACAATTCAAATCAACTGAGGAGTTCAATGACAGGCGCCCCATATAAAGCTCGCTATCGCGCTGTTTCACTCTTCGATGACTCGCTCCCTCTCTTCTTTTTTTGCATGCGAATTGCCAACTGCATTTGGTGCAACGAAACAAGCCCCAAAAATATCTGGAGACAGGTCAAAATATATGATACCAAAATGAGGGGCACGTCCACTAAGCGAGTTTAAATTTAAAACAAAGAAATTACAAACTTAAAATATCCTGTTTAACCGACAAAATAATATAGCAACATCAACTGGTTCTTTGATCTGCCAGCTAAGAAGTTCTTGAACCCTTCATATATTTCATATATTTTTTTCTATTGAAAGATAATATATATATACAAATTTTAAGATCTGGTTAACTTTTTGGTATTTAACGACCTTCAACTAAATTTACTTGAACTGAGTTCTTAAAAAACTTGAGCGAGTTCAAGTGTTTTGTTTTATGAGAGAGCGAGAGTTGACAAACATTGACAGAGAGAGAGAGAGACAGAGATAAAGTCTCTTTCTCTCTATCAAGTGAACAAGTGAGATAGAGACTCTGTCTAGTTCGTATCGCGCGTGGAAGTCTTTTGTTTTTTTTTGGCTTTATGGTCCACACTTGCCATGTTTATTGTGAATTATAATTAACTTGCAAAATGAGAGCTCAAACAACAACAACGACAACAACAACATTAATGTGACAGACGTGTTTTTTTCCATTCGTAACTATTCACAAAATGTTAGACAATCAAAACAGATAAAAAAATGCTCAAAACATTGGATATTTTATGAAATGCCAATTGGAATATATATGCAAATAAGCAGTCGTATATATATATATATATATATATATATATATATATATATATATATATATATATATATATATATATATATATATATATATATATATATATATATATATATATATATATATATATATATATATATATATATATATATATATATAACATGTCTCCTATATATTTAATCTGACTTTAAGTCGAACAAAATAACGCCAAATATAAATTTTGGACTCTTATTATATAAAGTCAGTATTCAGTTCCAATTGGACATTAGCGACTCTTATCGATAATTATCGAAGCAACATATTCACTAATTGCACAAGGAATCCTTTTTAAATATTTTTTAAAAATATAAACAATATTATAATATTTCAATAGGCTTGGCTAAATCGATATGTACGATAACTCGATATATTAAGTGCAAATTAATCCTGGTAATTCAGTGCAGTTTACTTTATAAATTCTGTTAGATATTTTGATTAGCTGCCACCACATAACACCTTTATCAGGAAACTCCCTAACTCTTATCAAATATCAAACTTATTTATTCATATTTCATACTCTTTTCCTTTTTTTCAAACTTTCAAACATATCGTATAGCAACTATGAGAAATAGCAGCGACTTGATACAATTTAAGACCCAGAAACCGGTTCGTTGTCTTTTCAAAATCGTTTATGGGCAATTCGTACTCAAAATAAAACAAAAAACAATAACAATGACAATAAAGCTGTTCAGCAAGCTTCGTTGCACGTCTTATTTGTCTACATTTTTTCAGACGTTCAAAGTTCAGCTGAGTTTCAAAATGTTTGTTTTGATTTTTTTCCAATAGGCATACATATATATATTTTTTTGTATATAAGCGCCGACATACATAATATCTATGGTTGACTAGAAATTGTAAGCATTAAGGTCTTTAGGATCATAAGTTCATATAATACATATCGATATTTGACTTTTAATATAAATAAATGCTTGGGGCTTTAATGATCAAGAAACTCAATCTTATCATATAATTATTATAACTCTGGGGAAAGTTTAAATAAGAGTTCAAAATGCAAATATTTTACATAGAAATATTTCAAAACGTTTTCAATTTCAATAGCTTGTATTGACATGTTCCTTTAATATTTATCTCTTAGTCTATATCTATCTATACATTTTTCTAACTAAAATTTAAATCTTTTGTTTAAAATTCTGAGAAATGTCTGAATTGTGGAAAGTTTGCGAAATTATCAGCAAGAAGTATTTAAGTATTTTCGGAAACATATATGAAGAAACATGTCTTTCTTGATTCTGAATTAAAGGCAAATGACATCGAAAAATTAGCATTTACTCTTTTTTTTGCATATGAATGATTTAATTAAAATAAAGCCGCACAATTATTTTATATCAAATTGATATGTGTTATACGCATATAGCGTTAATTTTATATTTCGTTTCTGAATGCCAAACTCAAACCTCAACAAATTCTTTTATTATATAAAAAAAGTGCAAACAGCGAATATATTAAATATATTAAGATATTTAAGATTATGATTTTTGTCTATAAAAAACCTTTCAGAAAGTTTAAAGTTTTGCGATCTTTCAAGTTCCAATTCGTTGCAATTCTCAAAGAGTTTAAGCTTTAAATAGGTAACAAAAGTGCTGATTGAAAAGGCAAAAAGGAATCTCAGAAAATCTCGATAATAACAGCAAGATTAACAATCAATTAATATCTATTATAATAAATTAAAGCAAGGTATGTATTTTATGCATAGTATATAATCATATATATATATATATATATATATATATATATATATATATATATATATATATATATATATATATATATATATATATATATATATATATATATATATATATATATATATATATATATATATATATATATATATGTTCTTAGATATCTTCAAGAATTTCTTATACTTCCTTAACAGTTAATATTCTCAGTTTACTAATAGAACTATCTAAGAACTATATGTTAAGCTTGGCTAAAAGTTAAATAACAGAAATTTTTATTGTCAATAAGGAAGATTAACTCAAAGATGTCATCTCATTTCATAAAATATAGGGTATATCATAATTTCATTTTACAGTTTACTTATTTCGATGACATCTTTGAGCTAATCTCTGTTGAGCACTATAAAAATTAGCATATTTTAAATCATCATCAAATCCGAGGATTTAGCGAAAGCTGAAGCTCACCCCTTATCTGAGTTTTGGCTTAAGCTAAGCTTAAAGCTTGTTAAGCTTTATTAACTTGCCTTCATCCTTCATATCCATGAATTCCACGACTAAATCCTCATCGCTGAGCAGCCCTATGCACGCAGCCTTCTCCAAAGAGTCCGCCTCCTCCACGCTCAAAAGCGTAATGCCTAAAATATAAAATATTTAATATACAGATATGTGTATATAGATAATCATTCACTAACCATTTGCAAAGTTATCGTCATAGAGAAAGGTTGCTGTTGGATCATCAAGCGCAAAGAGCTCGCCGGCCACCACCGATGGCGGCGAAGCTGGCTCCATCTTGGGATCCCAATATAGTTCCGGAGGTAAATCTAAACTCTCCATTGTCAATGGTATTTTGCTGTTGGTGGTCATAGGATGATGTCAAATCTGAATCAAAGCTTAACGGGATATATTTGGAATATATTGAAAACGGTTCAATGAATGTGATGAACGCTGGTTGCTGCGGTTGTTTTTGTTGTTGTGAGGACGCCATGGTGGCACTGCGAACGAGAAAAAAATTGATTGATTAATAAAAATTAGTTGGCACTATTTGGCTGACCTGAACTGTGCATAAGACTTGTTTACATTGATAAACTGCAGCCAGACATAAACAAATCAAATTGCATGTCCAGACGACGTCAGCAGCTGCTGCTGATAAGCCCTTTCGATGCGGCCCAATCGAGTGTCAAATGCTAAATTATTTCGTTATCATTAATTTTCTAAATATGTGTTTTGTTTTAAAAATAAAAATTTGAATCCTATCTCAATAAACATGTAATTTTCTATTTCCAATTTACTGTTTTGATCTTCTTCTTCATTGACTCACGAAATTTGAGAACCTTTAAAAATGCGCGTTGGCTGACAAACACGACACGCGCCCAACTCCAATTCACATCGTTGTGCAAAAAAAAATTAAAAATATCATTAACAAATAGCTGATTGCTATAAGCACTAGCAACGCAATAGACGTCAACGTTCCTTAATTATGTGCTGCGAGCAAGAGCAGTGCGATGCATACATATGTGTGAGCGAGGTAGTTCAGCTTATGTATGTATGTAAATAATATGATTCATTGCCCAGTGCACGTGCTGTAGCATGTGGCAAGCTGAAGAAGCATATGCCGCATTTACGCAATTTTGCAACCGATTGCATCAGCCATTTTTCCAGTTCCAGCTGCTACGGCTGTCCGGCCCTGTTGCATGCCACAAGCAGCCTGTAAATCTTTCTGCCACGTTAACATGAATCTACAAATAAAGCCATACACTCGCACACATACGCACACTGACACATTTAACTGTTTATAGACAACAAATCCGCAATTGGCTGGTATGCATGTGTACTTGTGCATGGCTGTCAGCTTCTGTTTGTGTGTGTTCGCTTATATTTGTGTGCGACATTGCGAAATTGTTGCACCTTTGTACACTTGTTTCAATGTTTAGGTACTTACAAGTTTTTTGTTAACATTTTCATAACTTTGTGTGTTTTGGGCACTGTTCGTGCTTGTGTTGTGTTTGCGCGCAAACTAGAAAGCCATTTTTATGTCCATATAAATGCAAAATACACGAGAGAAAATATTTTGACCTTTTTGCGTTTCATTTGGGACGATACTGAACGGTTGCTAAGTGCTCCGGAACCAATTCAACTAAGTGGTTCCAACTGAACCAATGTTAACCAATAACAGTGACTTATCTGAACAAACAGTGAACTAACTGTAATTCCGGGAATTTTTGAAATTAATGTGAAAAAAATCATATATTCATTTATATGGCTTCCCTCTATAATTAAAAATTTTGAATCAATGTTCATATTTACAGAATTGTAAATGTCATAATGATATTTTTTGTGTCTGTGTTTTGTAAAACTATTACTAAGTAATGAGTTCAGATTAACTATTTATTATTTAAAGAGTAGATCAAAATAGCCAAAAATAATTACTATCAAATATTTGTATTAAAATAATGAATCAAAACTGTTTAAATTTATTTGTGCTCCTTGTTGTTAGGTAACATGCTGTTAACTCGTCTTTCGTTAAGTGAGTAAATAGTATTGTAACTGACAGCTTATGTCTAGCTCCGAGCATACATTTGACGCTCACGCAGTTTGGCATTTTTTAGTCAATTTTGATGTTGTGTAGTCGCAAAGACAAATTAATTAATATGTGTGCTTAAATTTCAATTAATATTACGTGAAGACGCACGCTTGCGCGTTAAACTCGTGTTACGCTGTACGGAACTGAACGGCACTTGACGCGCCCCCAAATTTGTGAGTGTGTGCGTGTGTGTTTGTATGCGATGTAACTAAACTGTATAAAAGCAGAGGTCAAAAGTGCACGCAGCCAAGAAAAAAGGGCAAAATTGTGACGTAAATGGAAGACAGCGCTACAAATACGCCTATTGGTTGTGGCCAATTGGCCGTAACATTAAACGGGGCACTGTGGCCATTGTTTTTGTTATGCACAGCGTACGTATATCCAATACAGTGTGAGTGAGCATGTGTGTGTGTATATAGATATGTGTAGGCGCAGCCTACGCCAACGTCGTAGCCGAATGTTGTTTCTTCTTCTTACACGCTTAGCCAGTCACATTTTAGTCTGAAAATTCCTATGCTGATAAGGCTTGTACGTATGTGTATGCGTGCGCGCGCGCGAGAGAGCTTAAGCTAGACACACGATTGCCAGAACGAGAGAAGGGAAGCGCACCCGAGAGTGTAGTAGTGAAAGAGCGCAAGCTGCTGGCGTCAGCTGTTTTATGTTTTGATTGTGTGCAGGGCAATAATAAACGCAATCGCACAGGTTTTGTTTTTTTTCAGTCTAAGTTCTTGAGTTGCGACGAGCCGCTGATCAGTACCGTTTGTGAAATTGAAAAGTCATCAACGTGTGCCGCGTACCAAGCGAAAATCAAGAAATTAAAGTATACTAATAATTCACACAAGCTTTTTCATTATCAGCCAATTAACTGACGTCGCATTTCTAAATAGTTGCGCTCTCTACAAATGCAGGCGTGTATATCTGTATGCGTGCGTGTGTATTTGTCTGTTTGTGTGAGTGAGCTGTGACGCGCTAAAAGCGGGGCGTGTTTGCCATTAGAAAAGAAGAAGAACGAACAACAACAACAACGGCAATAAATGCGATAAACAAAAAAACAAAGAAGCAAGTGCTAAGAAAATTTAAACAAAACGCAATAAATGTGGCAGAAATTAAGAAAATTTGTTAATTAATAAATATCAACAAAATAGTAGAAAATGCAATATATATATGTATATATATTTAAAAGTGCAAATTGAAGAAACAACAAGACAAAACGAAATCAAAAAACCAAAACCAAATAAATTGTCATAAATAAACCAAAGTGTTAATTAAAGTTTTTTCAAACTGAAATAATTAAATTGTTAAGCTTTTTTATAGAGAAAATATATATGTATACCTATGTTAGCAGTAAAAATTTATATAATTAAAATTTACAAAAAAAATATACCAATAGAAAAACGAGTCATTAAACGTGTCCATCAAATTAATTACAGAGCTCAAAGAAATTTTTTGCAATCACATAATGCGTAGCATAAACACGAGCTGAGAAAATCTTGCAGCTCAAAACCTCAAATAATTGCACCTGGTCACACTACAAAAACCAAAAAGAAAAAAGTTAATTTTTTGTAAATTAAATAACAAAGAAACGTAACAATTAGCCAAAAAAAATGATGTTGAACAAATACGAAATATATCAACGCACAAACAACATGTTCCAACAACAACAATTACAACATCAGCAGTTACAACAACAACATCAGCAGCAGCAAACATCGCTGCATACACAGCACCAGCTCTCCCACTCGCACTCGCACGCCATATCCTATATTGACAGCGCTGCCAGCAGCAACGCCGGCAGCACTGCAGCAGAACTGGCCGCCATGTTGGCCGCTAGCAAAGCAGAAAAGGAGTCCATACATTCGGGTCAATTTATGGTCTCACACTTTGAGGCAGAGGAGGCGCAGGATGATCTAGAAGATGACGGCGAGGTGAAGATGTTGGATCCCGAGGATCCCAGTCTCGATAAGCCGGGCATAGCGACGAACACGTGCCGCGACGTTCAACTGTATGTGCCCCAAACTGTGGTTCATTTTCCGCACATGGATCTGGATCGCGAATGCGATGAGAATAGCATGGGCATGAGCATCACCTCCCATCTCGAGATTGAGACGTCGCTAACCAAGCTCTTCAAATGCATGAATCTGGCATACAGGTGAGTCGACATTAAGCCAAAGGCCACGCGCCAAGCGCGTGTTAACTAACAAACATAATTTGTTAACCATTAAACTGGGCCGCAAAGACTTGCCTGTCCGCGCAATCGTTCGTAGCACATGTTGCTGCGACGCCGACGGCGACGTCGCTGCTCGAGTTACCTTTAGCTTTAATCGCAGTCTTCCTTTTGTGCTGCGTCTTCTATTTCTGCAAACCTTTGCAAATGCCAGAAAAATTAAATAAAACAAAATAAAATCAGTAATCAAAAAATATGAAATATCAATGCAGGAAAGCTGATACTTGTAATTTAATAAAGTCACCGACTTGAACATACCTTATAATACAAACAGAAATAAAAACAAGATCTCAGACCACACATGACATGACATACTCATACATAAATATATATATTTATAGTAAAACTTCGTTTGAGCGAACAGCACAATTTTATAATAAACAAAGATAATCATATACAGCATAACCTATCCACCACTAAAAGTTTAGATCACTTCTTCTTATACTTAACATTAGCGAATGTTATGCTTTATATAATAATCATACTTGGTATATACTATAGATTGATATACAAACCCGGATTCTGATTAATTAAACTTAAAACAAAAAATGTGCGAAAAGTGTTCTATTGCTTGAAATATATTGCTAATTTCCTAAAGAATTTTTATTAACATTTATTTTCGTTAAATCAAATTTTCGTTAAATTTCTATTAGAAGAATTTTCTGAAGAAATTTTTACGATTTTGATAGCTAAAAATACGAATAATAAAAGAAAATAAAGCGTAAATTTAAGATGGAAAATAAATGAACTTTAGCTGAAACTTAAGTTGATCCATTGGTAAAGTTTCACTGTATTCTAATTGTTGGAGATCCTACTGTATAAAATAAATTCGCTTCGATAAATTCTACTCATGTAATGATTACTGTAGACCTCCGCTGTATTATAGAGAATTTATAAAGCGGGCACACTAGAGTCGGGAACATATACCACTCATTGAGTGAGTACTTAAGGCCCCAGCGACCTTATAGAGCATAAACCTTACAGAACTGCATGACACTTATTGACTGTCCTCTTTAAAGACTGTAGATATCGTACAAAACATATTATCATTGATGTATTCCACTTACTGAGTAATTACTGTAGACCTCTGCTAATTTAAAGAGCATATTCGGTTTATCGAGTCAGCACTCTAGAGTCTTGCCTATCCTCTAGGGCTTCGTATACCACTTATCGAGTGACAACTGTGGACTCTCTAACTCAAAAAGATATATAGGCTATCTTTTCGAAGCAAAGGCTAAATGTGTCTATCTTCATATCTGTGTATATATGTATGTGTATATAACCCTAGATCCACACGAATTCTGTGTCAACAAAAGGAGAGATAAAAATTTGTTTGCCATTTTAGATACCCCAGGTGCGCTATTTAACGAATATTATTGTTTATTTCATCTTATTTCTATTGTATTCAACAAGATTGAGATTGAATATATATATATTTGTGTATGATTCAGAATGTTTAGTCATTTTATAGGCTTATTACAAATTTAAATTTCGAAAAATATTAAAATTTTATTAAAAAGTCAATGCAACAAAGTTGGATCACACAAAGCCCCCATATAGAAATGATTATATTCCGATATATATATATATATATATATATATATATATATATATATATATATGTATATATGTATATATAGATATATTTATTTATTCATATATATATTTATATATAATTGCTTGTAAAGCACGTAGCCTGATATTGGCGCTTTGTTTTGGTTTTAAAATTATTTCTTCACTTTGGTCAAACTTTTCACAAAGTCAGCTAGTTTGTTTATAATGGCGTATTAATTTTTTGATAGACGGAAAACGGTTATCCGGCATTGCACGGCAGATTAAAGTGTAAGGAAAACGCATTTAAGTTTAGTTTATTATTGACTAAAAATGGTTGGGATCTTGACAAAGTAGGTTTTATATTCTAAATTTATTATATATATATTATTATATTTATGTATATAATTTTATAAAAACATAATAAAAAATATATAGAATATTTAAAATAAATAAATATAGAATATTTAAATTAAATTAAAACAAGTAAGAAAGCTCTAGTCGGGGTGCCCGACTAGGAGATACCCTGATCCTAGTCCTTTGAGTTTTGTAATATTTTCCGTAGTTTGTATCGAGTATTAAAAAAAAAAGAAAACAAATAAAAATCAACATTGCGAGACCAGGATTCGAACCCGGATTATTTTCGCAACGTGCACAAACTCTACCAACACCGCCACTTCATAACTAAAAAAAAAAAAAAATAAAACAATAAAAAACATTTCATCTCCTCTGGTCTCGAACCCGGACCAAGCTGCATACGAGCGGCGCCTCTACCAACGCAGCCACTGCCCTTCTTTCGCGAGTTGTTGCAAATTTGAACATAAGTAGCAGCTAATAATTCAGCACAATTCAATCGCAATTTCAATTCTTGGAATAGAAAAAATGCACGCATTTGAATGTATGTGTGCACACGCATAGGAAAAATGCGTGCGCGTGGCGCTGCTGACATGTGCTTTTGCAAATTGGCCAAACGTTTTGTTTAATAACTTCTGTTTTACTTAATGGATTTTAATGAAACTTTCAGCATTTGATCTACATATCCTATTGGCTTGGTTGAGATGCAAACGCCTTGACATAATGGCCCTAGTTCCAACTAAACTTAAATTCTAAGAATTTGGGGGAATTTGGAGCCGGTATCCAAAATCCAACAAAAATCAAAATTGCATAAAATATACATAAGACTAAATACAAAATTTGGAGGCTCTAGCTCTTAAGACTTTCGAGATATAATTTATTTACTGCATTTCAATAATGTTTTTATTCGATAACAATTAAATGCGAATAGTTATCGAATATTTGAAACAAACTTGACCTGCGCGTGCTATACACGGACCTACAAAAAAAATTTCAAGTCTCTAGCTCTTATAGATGCTGAGATCCACGCGTTCACACATACGGACAGACGGACAGACGGACAGACGGACAGACGGACGGACAGACAGACGGACAGGGCTCAATCGACTCGGCTTGTCGTCCTGATCAAGAATATATATACTTTATGGGGTCTGCCACGCCTCCTTCTGCCTGTTACATACATTTGCACAAAACCATTATACCCTGATTTCCCATTTTTAATGGGATCAGGGTATAATTAATAAAACTTAAAATTACAGAGATTAAAAATAATAAACTAAAATTAAAAAGTAAAAATAACTTAAAATACAAATAAATAAATTGTAATCTAAGAAATTCAAATATAGTAAAAACAGATTCATAAATAAATTAAAATTTATACAAAGGTTCAAAATAAGAAAATAACATTAAATGAAGAAGCAAATTTATCAAAATTTGTACAGCATGTTTTTATGGAAAAAAATTTAAATATTAAAGATTATGTATTCCAACATTTTCATAGGTAAAAATATTTTTTTTTTTACAAATCATGCTGAATGATACAAATGCTGAAAGGTTTTGCCTAGTGCATACTTATCGTCAGTGCCTAGTTCTTATACATACGTACATATATATATTCATAGGTAATTAAATATGTTTTCATACATATTTGTATGTATGTGTGTACATCTATATTAAATGGACTTTATGCCTCATCTCTAATTCGCTTTGAGCACGTACACAATTTTATATTTCTTTTCTTTTTGGCCTGCTCTGGCTTTGGCTCGTTTTCCTAGTGCTAAAGTTCAGAGTTTTTGGGTTCATTCAAGTTTTTAGTCATCGAAGATCATTTGTTGCGTAGTTTTTTCGTGTTTTCTTTTTTTGCTTTGTTGTTACGATCTGTTTTTAATGTCATGTTGGTCGGTTGAAAGCTTGGTCGGTTGGTTTTTTCGTCTTTTATTGTATAGTTTTTGTGGTTTAGCATACTCGTTTTTTTATGTCAGAGCTTATCAGTTTGATAGCTAGATAGGCTTTTGGGCCTTATTTATGTTTGCGTTCTCTTATCTATCGGGGGTCTGTGCTAAAGGACAATCTCCATTCAGTTTTCTGCGCTGCGCGTATTTTGCACACCAGCTCGATGTGGGTTTGTCTTAGATAATAGATATTTGTACGCTGTTGGTCTACAAAAATGTTCAGTTTTAGCGCGTGGGGAAGTGTGCACAGAGTATTACGATTAATCGATATATATGTGTTTGAATTTGTGACGAAGTGAATTTAAGATAAGAATAAATTTATAAATATACGCAGATAGATAAAATCAATTTATAGCTTTTCTAGTATTTATGGCTTGGATGAATTGAGATATACTCGCTTATAGTTAAACGTTTCTAATCTAATGTATAATATAATTTTTTGTTTATCAATTTGAGTTTTTATAAATGCTATACTATTATTTTAGAATTGTGGATATTTCAGAGGTGGCGTAAATATATATATATATATCTATAAATATATCTAAAAATATCTAAAGTATAATAAATATTTTTAAGTGTATTTGAGCTACGTAATCAATCTCTTCGTTCTATTTTAAGCTCATTTCAGACTTTTTTTTCTCATACGTAGTTGTGTTATTTTTAGATTTTAATTGTATTTTTGAACTAATGTTTGTATAGAACATTTAATATATTTATATATATATATATATATATATATACATATATATATCTTTTTGCTCAATGATTTGTTTAGAAAATACATTTGGGAGCAATCGATTTATTCATTGACAACTTTTTGGTTTGGGGCATTCCCCTCGGAATACAAAAAAAAAAAAAATAACAATTATACAAAAGCTTTCATTTTTCTAGCTAAAAACGGGTTATTTAATTTAACTAAAAATGGTTTTGGGGTATTCCCTGATTCTCAACCATAATCAAATTTATAAACCATAAATAAATTTTTTCTTAAAAAACGCCTTAAACATTTTTTATTATATATATTATATATAAAAAAAAAACAAACAAAAATATCTTAGCCTTTATTAATTATTATTATAATTATGGGGGTATTCACCTCTTAACCTAACTCGCTAAAAAAAAGATAAAATCAAATTTCTAAACTTTATAGCTATTAATATATTCTGAAAAGTATTCTATCAGGAAGCTAACTGATTTAGGAATGCGGCTGTGCGTTTTGCGGTGGTTGGTGGTGCTTAGCATTTCGAGTGGTTCCACGAATGCGGGAAACTGTTTATGCAAGTCCCTCCCTCTCTTAACTTGTTATGTAATTTTGATTTGAGTTCAGGGCGTTAAGCAAAAACAAGCAAATGCAGTTGTTTACTATTTGCTACAGTGAATCATCGATAAGAACAACAGCGAATAGATCGTGTATCGGCAGCTTATTGATTAGTTAAACACTGTTTATTATGTTGGAGCTGCATTGATATTGATATTGATATTGATATTGACGTGTGTCGATTAATCAGAGTCGCACTCAATACCTGGATATTTATATTGATTAACAATTATTTTTCGTTCGCTCTCTCTTTGTTTAATCAAACATCAATATGCCACATAGGTAAATAAATAAATAAATAGAAATAGAATAGTAAAAAGAAAAATTACTCAGATTTTATTTTGAGATTGCCGCCCAGGCGGGTTATGGGGCAACCTATTTATAGCACTCACAATCTGTCCATTTCTATACCTTATATTATTTTTAAACAAATTGTGCCTGCTTTTATTGTAAACTATGCATATTTAGCTTGTATTTATTTCACATGCATACAAACATATATATATATATTTGTTATATCATCGTTTTCCTTTTAGCCAAAAACTGACATCTCCCAAATGGAATCATTTTAAAGGCGTTCGTTTGCGCTGGAAGGACAAAATACGACTCAATAATGTCATCTGGCGTTGCTGGCATATGCAATGTGAGTAGAACTCCAATTATAAAAACATATATAGCCTTATATACATAATATTCCTCAAGTATTTCAAAATACCTTTTTCCACGGTCAGAAATTTTCTTCATCATTTTTTTTTTAATTTTTAAAGTATGCCCACATCATGTTTTAAAAATTTTCTTTCATTTAACATAAGAAATTTGAAAACAAATTATTTATATTAAGTTAGAGATACTCTAGAAATTTATAAATTATATATTTTGTAAGGGGAAGTTTGCTAGCAGTGACATTAAAAAACTTAATAGATTAACCAGCTTAACAATAGCTAAAGTTTTGTATAGTATATGAATGAAATGATTAATTGCTTTTAATAGATTGAGATATTGTACACAAATGATAAAGTTGAATTCAAATAATGAGTAGCTTTCATAGATAAGAAATTATTTAAAAGTCTGTTTTAATTTAAAGTGCTATAAGAAGTTGAGTTTTCTGAAAATATCATGAAATCAACGAATTTTTGTACTAATTTTTTGATTACGCTTGAAACTCATAAGATTTTGATTAATAGTAAAAGTTTGTAAAGATTATTATAATAGTTTTGTCATTTCAACAATAAAAAAACTTAAATTATAAATATATAATGAAATTAAATTATAAATATATAATGTATATATAAAATAATTATATATGTTATATAAGTTGCCAAACCAATCAGTAGCATTATATTTCATAATAATTCTTTTAAAGACTTTAGTAAAATTTAAAAAAAAAAACAACCTATAATTGAGTTGTATAAAATTTTGATATTTACACGTTAATTCGGTGCTATAGTTTTATGACAACATTAAAAAGTTGTTCGACAAAATTGTTGTAAAATTTGATTTTGATTAGGATAAGATAACCTTTTTGTTGTACATTTGATACAGTTGCTAGGTTACTAAATGTCAGAAGCAAAAAGCATAATTTAGTTGCTAGACCAAAAATCTATTTCGTAATTATATTTTCCCAAATCATAATATAAGCAAAGCGCTTTTCTACACATAATTAACTCATTCCCAAACAGAGCTGAACAAAAATGTAAAATACAAAATTTTCCACACGCGGCACGTGTCAGGGGCGTTAATAAAAATGTAAAAAAAAAAATTACAAATCATTGCAGATATGAAAAACAAAATTGTTTAATGGCCCTTTCCTTGAGCGCCAAAATGCTACACGTGCTGTGCGAAGGGCAAAGCCAAATAAAAAGCAACAGCAACAGCTAAAAAAAAGCTAAAAGCTAACACAAAAAGCTTTCTTGATTAGGAGATGAGTCGCATTTGTTGATAGCTTTTTACTGGTTTCTTATTGTTAGTTATGTGTCTAACTTTTTGACAGTCGCTGTTCAGTCTGTGGAGCAGATGTTCGTAATTGTCATTGTAGTTGTAGCAGACACTTTTTGTCCTCTACGTTTGGCAGCGTTGCCAAGCGTCTGGGAATGCGTCGCACTTCTCTTACGCTTTTCCTTATCAGCTTCCGATGGTGCTTATCAGAGATGTCTGTCTGGCTTGCTTTGTGAAATAGGTTTTAAATAATTACCTTCTGTGTCAACTCGAACATCTGATGCCAGCCAAAATTCAACATAAAAAAAAAACTTATATGAGCAAGCTATTAAAAATGTCTCAGACTATAATTGAAGATGTGGCAACGCTTCTATTTAAATTTTTTTTCTTTTTTATTATTTTGAATTTGTATTTCGTATAAAAAAAAAAATGACAGCTAGTTATGAAATAAGTGTGTATATAAATTGAAACATCTACAATCAGGAAAAAAAAATGTTAAATAATATATATAAATAGAGTTGCTACGTTTTTCGGTTTCCTTAGACTATATCAAAAAGCTTGTAACATTTAGTTTATATATTCAAGCTTCTCACTTACTTTTTGTTAGTAAATATTAAAATATTAAATTTCTTATTAAGTGATAAAAACTCTGAGAGTTGCCATCTTATAAAAATACCATAACATATATATTTTATTTCTATGTTTAAATTTAATTCAAAAATTTCAACTAATAAAATTGAAAATAGAAAACTTTTGACATAATATAAATATCTGACAATTCTTATAATAAATGTTATTCATTTTCTTTAAAAAATCACTTTAAATATATTATATAATACAAATGTCCACAGCAAAACAAAGATAAGCTCTGATGAAAATTGCCACCTTTTAAAAACAATCAATTGATAATAAAAACAAGGGGTAACTCTAAACACAGACTTTTTATAAACCAATTTTCTTTTTAAGATTTTGTAATGCTTCGCATATAACTAAAGCAAAATGTTATAATTAAAATTTAGAATATTTATATTTTCACTTTTCATTTTTTTTTTTTTCGAAAATTTAAGTTATTACAAACTGTACACACATTAATCATAGCAAAACACTTTTATATAATTATTTGGGGGTTTCTCTGTTTTAAATATTTCCACTCGGTTACATCACAAGTGTGAAAAGAGCAAGACAGTTGCCTAGATAGATAGATAGATGTGTATTACAAACCCCGTCAACGTACGATTATCTCTTAAAAGTGACGACAACGGCGACAAAGGCAAATGGAAAATTTTAGGTCTATTTATAAAGTCTGTTGTACTGTGCTGTAAATCCAGCTACCTACGTATGCACATCGTACACACCCGTCTTCTTCTTTATTTATCAGATTAAAAACCTAAAATGTTGAAAATGCTTCAATGAGTTCGCTGTAGGGTATTATCGGTCAGATAATTTCCCCACAAAGCATATTAGACTATCATTTTGGAAGTTACTAGCGCTCTGTTAAGATTAGTTTAAGCAGAAATTGGTATTAGGTGGATTCAATAAGAAGAGTTTGGCAGATATTTGATTTGATGTTTCAAGCAAATAGAGTATAAATTATATATTTTATTTTATTTTTACTACTATAATAATACAAATATAATAATAAAATATAAAAAATACTAAAATAAAAAGTCAAACATAAAATAGCCGTATATTAATAAAAGCATAAATACACATTCTTAAAATGTTTTCTCATTTTAATTAATTGTAATTATTACATATCGATTAATTTATATTTTTGAAAAATTTTCACTAAATAATACATAATAAATGAATATTATCCAAAATATTCGAATTTATTTGCTTATTTGTTTTTGGTTTTTTTTTTTTTAATTCTACTTAAAAACAATTCACTTCAATAGAATCCCAAAAATATCATATAGTACACATATACATAAATGCTTGAAATATTTCATAGTACAATATTAATACGGAAATATATAATAAGAAACCAAATAAAGCACATTTTGCAAAAAAAAAATATTAATCGAAGAGTCGAAGTTCAGACAAGGCCCTTTTTATAGTTGCGTAGAAAACAGTAGCACCCTTTTACTATATTGCATATTAATTAAATCTATATAGACTTTATCAGCAACCTAACAAAATATATATAATAATAATTTGATAGTGAAATGTATATAGGTTTCAATATGCCATGTTTTTCAATCGTACTCTAAAGTATATATACTTAGTAGATACTATCGTCAGTTTACAACATAATGAATTGTCATCCAGACGTGATTCCTACACATCTCAGGTTCATTCTCATTGTTATCCCGTCAAAGCGTTGTTAGATTCCGCTAAAAACCGTTTTGGCATCTCTGGAGCTATCTGTTGAAATGTTGCTAATCTCCAGGCTAAATCTTATCTCTGAACGTTTGACGCGCTCTCTTTACATAGTCGCTAGCAGCTCCCCGTATTTGTATTATTTTTTCATATTTCTCCCCTATTTTTTGCAGTTATACAAAAGCGCAGAACACCGGTGTGTCAATTCGCATCGCCGCTGGACGTTGACATACACAGTAATCCTCAAGTAAGTATTATATTAACGAGTGTCACCCACAAGTTAACAGTCTCAAAATGTGCGCGTTCTGATAATATTATCTATATGAATTTATGTTCAAAGGGTGCCTCAAAATCAGTTAAAAGTTTACAGTGATAAACATATATAGTAAAGGAAGTTAAAATGATATTTAAGGTATATCAATTCTGACAACGCACAGTGTATTGCTTGCTTGTTAACAAAATTTGCAGATTATTCTTCTATATAGAAGCTGAACGACTTGCTCTACTTCTATATTTCCTTAGAAATATAAATTTGTTATAATAAATAAAACCGTTTGTGCGATAGATTCTTATTCAATGCTGAAATGTGTGCATTAAGATCATAAATTCTATAAAAAATGTGTTAACAATAAGTGAACATTAATTTTGTATAATAGTCTTGACAAAGATTGTAAAGAAAAGGATACCAAAAAGTAAGAATAAATTCATTGCATACAGAAAGAGAAAATAATTAAACATATAAGGTTATATAAGGTTAACTTTAATCTAATGATTACATCTCAAATTTTACTGACAATTTTTTAAATTTCATTCAATTAGAACTAAGTTTCATAATTAGATTTCACTAGATATCTCTCAGAAAAGTTGTTTAATTATTTCTAAATTAAAAGATATATAGTGCAAAATGCATATAATAAAAAAAAAATAGAAAAAATAAAACCTTTGAAAATTAATCAAATATATTAAAATATTCCATTTTTATGTTTTCATATATATTTTACAAAATGATGCGAAAACAAACACATTGCATAAATATGCATAATAGTTAAATAATATATATTTAAAGATAGTTGATTACGTAAAATTAACTAAATATATATTATGTAGTAAAATTCCTTGTTTCGATAAAATTACAAGACAAGAAATAGTCATTCTTATAACTTAAAAAACCTTCCAAAGCCTTTAATACTTCAAACATCCAATCCAAATTTGTTACCAAAAACCGTCCACAAATACTTTTTCAACTTTTCTGCCATCAGCTGTTCCATTATTTAATAGCTATTCCCATGAACCGAACAGCTGACATATTAACCTAGTCTATATTTGTCCTGAGTGAATGCTATCGCAATGTACTCAAACAACCCCCACATGGAGCATCGGCAAAAAATTATTATAATGTTTGATTGACCCAAAATCATTTGCTGTACGCGTGATCGACAAGTCGCGCGTCGTTAACTCATCGGCAGATAATACAAGTAAAAGCCAGATATACATATATATATAACGTATATTTATATAAATTTCGCGTTGCGCTGCTTTCAACTTGCAGCACGTGATAAGAACGCGCGCTTATATTTTTGGGTATCGCTCACCTATTGTCGCAAGTTATTTATAGCAAACGCGATTAAATCTACAAACGAAATCGAATTCGCGTTTCTGTGTATAGTTATGCAGAACATTTCAGATTCCAGATTTCATGTATATTTAAATTTATGGAGCAATTTTAAACTACCCTCGCCTAAGATTCTAGATACCAGATAAACATCTAACTTTATTTCGCGTCAATGTTGAAATCACGTGATAGAGATATAATTTTAATTGACAACAATTAAAATAGATTCTACTTACACTTGTTTATAGAACTTATTTACAGAACTGTCAATATACGTAGTTAAAAGATTACTTTTTATTGCTATATCAGATAATATAAGTCAGAGTGTTGCATTTGTCTATGAGCACGAGATGATGATTTAACGAAAATAGATTCATTCTGTTTATAGAGAATGTAAAATGTAGTAGGAAGATAATAGATAATAGATAAATAATAGATAATAGATAATAGATAATAGATAATAGATAATAGATAATAGATAATAGATAATAGATAATAGATAATAGATAATAGATAATAGATAATAGATAATAGATAATAGATAATAGATAATAGATAATAGATAATAGATAATAGATAATAGATAATAGATAATAGATAATAGATAATAGATAATAGATAATAGATAATAGATAATAAATAATAGATAATAGATAATAGATAATAGATAATAGATAATAGATAATAGATAATAGATAATAGATAATAGATAATAGATAATAGATAATAGATAATAGATAATAGATAATAGATAATAGATAATAGATAATAGATAATAGATAATAGACAATAGACAATAGACAATAGATAATAGATAATAGATAATAGATAATAGATAATAGATTATAGATTATAGATAATAGATTATAGATAATAGATTATAGATAATAGATAATAGATAATAGATAATAGATAATAGATAATAGATAATAGATAATAGATAATGGATAATGGATAATGGATAATGGATAATGGATAATGGATAATGGATAATAGATAATAGATAATAGATAATAGATAATAGATAATAGATAATAGATAATAGATAATAGATAATAGATAATAGATAATAGATAATAGATAATAGATAATGGATAATGGATAATGGATAATGGATAATGGATAATGGATAATGGATAATGGATAATGGATAATGGATAATAGATAATAGATAATAGATAATAGATAATAGATAATAGATAATAGATAATAGATAATAGATAATATATAATATATAATATATATGAAGGTAAAAATACTGTCCTAAATCCCATACTCGAGCAACTACTCTATACTAGAGACGAGAAACTAAAGAAAATAGACACAGTCGGTTTATAGAGAATGTAGAAACTTTATACCAGATACTAGATAATAAATACTATATACTTTAGATATATTACATCAAATGCTATGCATATATTTTAAGAAGCAAAGAAATTATTATTTTTTATACCATATATAGCCGAGAAGAAAGTCTTATATCGAATGATTAAAGTTTTTCTCATAACAAACGCTTGACATCTTTGCTTCCTGCTCGGCTATACTTGACTTTAAAACGACTCCTTTATCTTTGATTCTTCATAGATTATCACGTTTTCAGCTTAGTTAAGACAACATTGTTCAGCGTAAACTGTTTACACATTGCACAAAATATGAAAGGGGAAAAATCTGATAGAAACTGTAAACAACCGGACGCCCACCACACCTTTTACAATAACTGCTAATTAGCTTGGGACAACAACGGATTGCTGGAGGCAGCGCCACTCGTCTGCCACACCCATATTATAGTGAAGTTGGTCTAGCACGTCAGTCAAATACTAAATCTAGATTGTATTTCGTAGTAGTATATAGCCATATAAACAAGCTCTTATCATTGTCTGGGTGGCAGCGGAAAGAGATTTATCTTATCGAGAGCTGCACCGAGAAATTGTGTTCATTCGGCAAAAGTTGACTAAATCAGTTAGAGTAGGCTCGTATACTGAAATTTACTTAGTATATTCTAAAATGTTTTATACATTTTAATTATCGCAACGCCTCAGTTATTGACTTTACGGTTGCTTGGGAACCACTCGAATCAGTTGTCCAAAGATCGTGACGCTAGCCAAACCATACAATTCACTCTCGTGTCCAGAGAATATGTGTAAAGTAAAGTCTAAACACTGTTTACTTTAAGTAAATACAAAAAACGATACTATTATATATTTCTCACATACATGTCCATATTGTTTTATATATTTGTTTTCTTTTTTCCCAGACCGTTGTGCTTGAGGGAAAATATTGGAAACGTCATGCAGCTGTTATCAAAGCCGAATATAGAAAATGGCGCAAAAATTATAAATCAAAAGCAACTGGCTGCTTGACTTATGATTCGGTAAGTGCCAAAAAAAAATTCATTTTCTTTGTTCATTAAACTATATTTAAATAAGTTTTACAATAAGTATTGAAGTTATGCCTTCTGCAAAGATTTGGTTGAGTTTTCCATCTCCTTGAACTGCACCAATATTACCATATATGTAAATATGGCTGTAAAGAGCTGTGAAATATAGTCGATATAGAGTTATGACAATATAAATTATCATTTAGCTCATCTAGTTGCTATGCGTACCTTAAAGAGGGTGCTTTTATCGAGTGCAAAAAATCCATAGGCTGTAAGTATGGGCTGTTGTCGCAAATTCTTGAGCAAGAATTTTTCAACCTACATTAAATGAATAGGGAAAGAGAATTGTTTGAGATATATGCATATATATATATAAATATATAGTATTACCATTTTATCAAGTCCAGATCCAGTTCTGGGTATTTTTGCTAGTATTTTGGCGGTTTTATTGGCCTAGAAGAGAATAAAAGGGCGAGAGTTAAAACGATTGAGAATTCTTAACAGAGCTTTAACTTTTTTCACTTTGAATACATACTACAATCTAGATCATAAATATCTGATTTATATTACTTAATATGATTCTATATTAAAACAGCAAGTTATATTGATAGAAGTAGAAATTAAATGACGCATAAACTGTAGAGAGAGCGAGTTGAAAGAAAAGTGAAAATGGGAAACCCAGGAGATATTTTTTTTATTAAATATCGATTATTGTTCATAAAATATATGAAATGCCCAAAGGAAATATCAGCTCTAAGACTAGACTAAATATAATTTTTAAATTTATTATAAATATTCTTGATACAATAATTAGAAATGTTATTATGAATTATGAATTATGAACTATAAATATTCTTAATAAATTAATTAGAAATATTGTTTATGCGAAATCAAGAATTTCCAATATTTAAAAGGCTATATTTGGCAAAGAAGTAAAAGAGGTGCCATAAAATTGATTTTATATTTCAATAGAGCAAACATAAATTAATTCAAAGTTGTATGTTATGAAAAAATTGTTTTTCAATTTATGGAGAAATTAATTCAAAGCATTAAATTTTATAAGAAACTTAATATCAAAGTCCTTCGCAATCAAACCTCTGCATAGAAGCTTGTAATTGATTTGGTTAAAATGTTTTCGGCCTCCGTTTCACTTACTTCAACTGAAATCACATTCGACCTCAACATGAACGTCATTGTAGCCAGCCAAGGTACATTCCATAGAGAGGATGTTATGCAAAACAAGGGTCCTAGTTTGCCCTCCATTACGGTGCTAATCAGAAAAAATGGGCCAGAGGGCGCAAGGAATAAGACGAGCGGCACGATGGGCAGTATCAAGAGTCCGTAAGATGCAATTAGCTCCACGGCAATAATATCCAATAGACGATGTCTTTTGTAGAGCAAATGCTTGCAGCTTGACACGGACTTGCTGTGCATTAACTGGCTGTTAAATTTAGCTATGCCAGCTGCCACAATATGTTGCAGGCAGACAAAGAACACTAGCACCAGGCACATGACCAAGAAGCTATACAAATACACGAATATATAGACTAGAGTCGGTATTTTGGATAAGCCCGCCCGAGTATAGCCATTCAAATAGTTCACCAAGCAGAGCGCAGAAAGAGCTGCATAGATATTGAAATTGCGTCGAAAGTAACGTTCCATAGCTTCGTCTGGGCACAACCGATGCAGTAGGAGTAGTTTTTGAACTAACTCTATATGACGCTGACGACGTACATAGAGGCACACATGTAGCAGACAGAGCCCAATGCAAAAGCTGCGTATATTGATCAATTCATAGTAGTTGCCCGTATCGTTGTAAACGCCCATATATAACTCTTGAGGCCGCAGATAGGCGTAGGTGAAGCTAGCGCATGCCAGGATCAGTATGAACAGCAGATAAAATAGCGCATAGCGCTCACTACCGGGTGTTGCCTGTAGCAAACATTCACGATCATCGAACTGGGCACATAGCATGCCCAGCCTGTACAGGACACACAAATATAAGCGCACGTTGCGACTGCCAGACATGCTGGCACAGACTAACCAGCCGGAACAGATAGCTATACAATTTACTAAGTGCATGAACATAATATTTGATTTAGATATTAGATAGATATTGATTAGTCGTGCAGGCCTTTAATTAGCTCAGCCAACAAGTTGCTGTAGTTTCCATTGGTGGACTAGCTGGGAATAAATTGGCAATGACCTATAAAGTAGGGTCCAAATATGCCAAGGCTGAGTGATTAGGGAGTCGTCTTAAGATTTACGATCAGTTTGGAGTTTTTTGAATCAAATATCAAGTACTATTTCAGGGAAATATTGTGCTGGCAATTTAATATAGTTCATCTGATGGCCTCGCCTTAAGATTTCGCCTAATTTGATTCGTAGATTTGAACTGGATTTGGTTGGAATTTTTCAAAGCGAATCAGTTTGGGCTTGGGTAGGACTTATCTCTATTCGCGAAACTTTAAAGTCTCATATCATAATGTTGATAAGAAGCGGATTTGATTTATAAATCTTCGGTTATAAATACATATTCACATCATCACTTTTACTTTGAACACTTAATGCTTGAGTTTCATTTATTGAAAGAATTTAGTTGGTTAGTAAAAAATATTGTAAGATATAAATAAAATTTGGATTGGCTAAAAACCAAATATATATATATATATATATATATATATATGTGTTGGATTTGGATTCACACTAATTTTATAAAAATTTGGTTTGCCAAATAATAACACAAGAGTTTGGCTCGTGCTTAGTTTCGATGACGTCAAAGGTTGGGCTTATCAAGTAAGAGTTGTGTATCAAATCAAGAATCAAGTGAATCAAACCATTAGCTAAAAGCCATTTTTAGACCCTGATTGTCTTGATTTGCGCCTTAATTTCGAAGTCATAATCATGCCTCTTACCTCTTGCCGAACGCTCTCTTGTCGAAAGACCATTACTAGCCCGATTGTCCAGGGTATATTCCACATGCAGCATGTGTAGAGTGACTGTAAAAAGTATCTCAAGCCAATTTGATTGATATCCAACTTAAAGACAATTGTGATCATAAAAAACGGAGCAACTGGCGCCGAGAATAAACACAATGCCATAATTAGCGCCATGAATGGACCAAACACAGAGTTCAGCTGCTCGTGGCAAACGTTGAGCATCTGATTACGTTTGTATAGAAGATTGATTGTAGTTGTTGTAGTTGTTGTTATAGCTGCCATCAATTCGCGATTATAAAGGTGCAAAAGGGCAGCCATGATTTTTGTTAGGCAGCTATATAGAATTATGATAAGCCCTATCAGCATAAAGCTATAGGTATAAAGGAAACTTAATAGAACGCAGGGCACTAGCGGTAAGTTAGCGTATCGGAAAGCGCCTGTATAGGTAGTCGCACAAATTACCGTTAGGCACACATACATATAATAGAACATTAGGAACTGCTTGCCATGGCAATTTTTGAGATCCCTGTGATTGTGATGGAGTATGAAGGAGAACAGCGCCAACAGACGCTGGCGCTTCACAAAGAACCCGATGTATAGAAGCGATATAACTATGCAAATGACGCCGTAATTTATGATAAAATACGTGTTGCCAACGGCCGTGTATTGTGGGAGCATAAAGCTTTTTGGCGTTAGCAAAACCTGCGCGAAGGCAAACCAAATAAAAAGCTGAAGAACCGTTAAACCGACTACGTTTAGAGTCTGATCCGAAACGCTGGCATAAACCCGATACGGCTTGCGAACATCGTGCGTTACGTAGAATAAACCGATACACTTCAGGCTAATTAAATAGACGCGCAGCTCGTCACCGGTAAACATGACGGAACAGGTGCAACTGGCACAGGATGTTTAACTGCCCGTGGCGCCAGATCAATCAATACGTTGAGCAGTAGCAGCCAGAGGATGGTTTTCATATTATATGACTAACAAATATGAGTTAACAATCAAATCAATTGATGTTTACATTTCATTAGCACTTAGTGTTTAACCTGACTGCACCCAAGGGGCCCAGGGGCCCATAGATAAACAACAGCAGACAGAAGGTGGCAGAAGTGAGGACGGTATTTAGTCAGTTAACTGAATTAGATTAAAGCTATTTATAACCAAAAATGCTTGAGAAATGAAAACTTACATTGATTTGATATAAATTGAAATCATGTTAAAATATTTTTTACGCACCCTTTTTTTGATGCAACGTATATATAAGAGAAGTTTACAATTGTTTACTACAAAATTCTAGTATTTGTGCTTACATAGATTATTCAATCTATGCAATATTATAATTTTAATTAACCTTAAATAGTTTTTGAAGTTATAGAAACGAATTTTTAGCAAATTTGAATTGAAACTCAAGAAATGTTTAACATATGGAAACATTTCGTGAAGAATTATAATTTATAAAAATTTTTAACGTGAATATTATCCAAAATTAAAATTTTCAAAATTAAAATTTTCTAAAATTTAAATTTTTCTATTTGAAAATTTATCAAATCTAAATCAAGTTCTTACAAATGTTATTTATGCCAAAAAATATGTGTTGAAAATATAAAGAAAAATACAAAATGTCAATGAAATTCAAATGAATTTCACTCATTTAAAAAATACCCAGAAATTTGTTTTGAAACTCCGAATAAAACTATCGAAATATTCCAAATTTGAATCTACTTTAAATAAACATTATATAATGTAAAATGTATACATGTAAATAATAATTTGCACCAGGTTTATTTTACAATTTTTACTGAAAATTCTGTTTAAAGTTTCAAGTTTTTTTTTCGTTCCCAAAATCTAAATATTTAGAAATATAATTATTTAAAAATCTAATATTTAGAAATATATTTCTTCAGTCAAATATCTTAACCTGAGTTAAAAAAGGCTCGACTTTTTCTCTTTATAAATATGATACTAGATATAATAACTTTAGAAAACCCTAAGGATTGCAATAATATGATTTCAATGCAATGAATTCATATTCAAATATTAAAATATCTTTAGTATGAATATGTGGTATATTAATATCTCATATTCATAATAAAAAAACTTAAAAAATATGTATGAGTAACTGGAATATTAATACAATTTATTAACAAAAATGAGTGAATTTACCTGCACATGAACCGTATCGCTAAATAGAGCTGTAGCCGCTGTCATAATTGTGGGTGAGAGCCAAATTAGCGACTTGAATATATGTTCCCACAGAGAGTTGTTCGTGTCTGTGACCATTATGATATATAATATGCTCGATGCGTCCAATGAGGAAAAGAGCATGCAAAGCCAAATGCTGAAGCCGTACACCACGCTGACCTCATCCGTGCAGAGGACAAGCAGACGATCGTGCATATCGAGGCAGGCGCGCAAACGCAAAATGGCGCTGCAGCTGCGCTTGGGCTGCTGCAGCTGATGAACCAAGGCGGTTAACTGCGCCTGATTGGCTTTCAGCAAATGTCGTATGACATGAATGAGAGACACATAGATGCCCTGAATGAAGCTGCTCGTGAGGGCGCGCAAGAGAAAGCCAATTGTGCTGAATTTGAACAAAGCCGATATGTTGGCAAGCCAATCGGTAAAGCAGGCATTCAGGAAGTTGCTAAAGTAGATGATATTGAAAAATACCAAAACCAGAAACAGACGTTGCGGCAGCTTCAGGCGTCGGCCCATCAAATATTTTCGCTTATATAGCTCCACTTGCCGCACAACATTTATTTGCAGCGTCTGCAGCCATAGGAGCCAAGCATTCTGCACAAATTGTATGACTATGGCCGAGAAGAGCACAAAGCGCTCATAGTGATTGCCCGTTGCGGTCATTGCGCTATTGAAGCAAAAGGTCCAAAAACTCACCAAGATCACCATACAACTGATCAAGTAAATTTGCATTGCCACATGCATCGCATAGCAAACGATGCTGCGATGCAATCGAAAGCGCGCCCTCCGAGGATCGTACTCTATGCAAAAGATGCCCAGACACCGACAGATCCAATAGTACGGATACAACTCGAATTGCTCAGCCTTCATCATGATGATTGCACCTCACTCAACCAACACTCGACAGAAACTGATTCCAATTGAATCCATTCGAGGATTATTTATGTCGATGACAAACAATTTCCTGATTGTGTTTGCTCAGTGATTTGTTTAGCTTAGCCTATAGTTATTATGCTTCACTTGTGTACTATAAATAGTTTCAAACTAATTGAGCTTTAATTCAATTGTTGGAATATAAAAGTATTAATGCTCGTTTACAGAGTGAACAGTGTATATTGGCTTTGTACAATGTTCTGTTTGAAGCTTGAGACTTGAAATTTTAAATATATACTCATTGCTCGCTATGCTGTCAGTGGCTGCCGACATTTTAAATTATTTCATTGATATTTTCAACGAAATTCGCTATTCAAATTTCAATCAACAAATCAAAAATAGTTTTCTAGAAAATTTAACTTACAAATTTACACAACTAGGCAAATGTTTCTTCAAATTAAATTTGTTTTCACAGCGTTTTCTAAACAATCGAATTTCATCAGAATAATTTGGGAAATTTGGCGATTTTTTTAAATGTAGAATATTTTTTAAGTATTTGAATGGCAAATTTTCCAAGGATTTTTTATTGCTAATTGTTGTCTGTTAACTCACCTGTTTGGCTATATTGTTCACAGTCATTAGCAGAGTCATTAAAGAATAAAGGCGTTAGCTAAAGTATAAAAAGGGAAATATCAATGTAACACCAAAGACTGGCGACATCTCAGCAGATGACGAAAGGTAAAGAATTTGATTTGTGGTCCTGTCCACAGTCCACTGCATGCCCATGTAATACACAAGCTTGACAAGGAAACCTTCCAGCAATGCAAAAATTTTTATGCTCAGAACAGCATGTGGCATGCAACGTTATGCGCTAAGCAGCTCGAGTAATCGATATCATTGAGACCCAGAATGCATGTCCTTTTTGTTTGCTGTGCCACAAGTTGCGCGATATACACTGAATGGAGCCTAAAGTTTCGCCTAGAACTAAGTACGCCCAAGATATTGATACATTATTGCTACATGGAGAAATTTGATATGCGATAAAAGTGTAAAAGTGGAGATAACATATTAATTTTGTTAATGAGGTCGACTAGTGAATGAGAGATGACATCTTGTATTTTTATGAAAATGTAGCTATAAAGTGTATGGCTAGATATATTTAATGTATATTGTAATTAGTTTTTAGCACTCTTTGAGGACATGATAATTTGAATCAGCAAGTTAATAAGATTTGACACAAAAAATGTGAGCATAGCTATCTCAGGAACCTTTCGGTTCTATCAAAAGCTAACTGCGAATTGACACACTTGTTTAGTTATAACCATTTGAGAATTGTAAGAATGCAACTTTTGCAATGAAAGCATAGCTGAGGCTATTTACTAAGATTAGTAAATTGGTACAGAACTGAAATTCAATTGCTTAACAAATCACGTTAAGCATTTATATTAATTTGAAGATATATTTTGAATATGAATCAAGTTTTCTATTAATATAAAATATAAATTATATTTTAAAACTTTATCAAGCTTATATACATAAATTTAATGAACTTTACTATGCTACTTAAAGATGAATTTAAATGTAACTTAAGCATCTTTAAGCATCTAAATATATTAGAACACTTCTCTATAAAAAGGTTATTGATTAGAGTTTTGATGTGTTAACTATGTAGCTAAAAGGCCAATAATAATTATGTTTCTTTATGAACCATCAAAACACATTTTTAGGCTTAGCCAAGACGTTTTGGAGATATGTAAAAGGCAAGAAAGAAAGACTTGTTTGAACTTCAATATAATAGACCACTTATCCTTAATTTCAATATTAAATAGAATATATTTATAGGCAACTTGACTGCTAGAGCTGGTCAAGTATTACAAAGATCAAGAAACTAGACCAACTAGCAATACTAGGAATAATAAATGCCAAATATTTCGCTTGACTACTCACCTCATAGGCCAAATTATTAATTTTTAACGGCATGTACATAAATATTATATTAACTGTCATCCAAGTCAGTATACCAAGTATATTTATATAGTCGAAGCGACTCTTGAGTGTAGCCAAATAAGCCACAAAGATGGAATTCTGACAGATAAATATTAGGCAGACGAGCAAAGCGATGCCAAAGACATCAACGAGTTCCTCGTGGCACATCAACAGTATTTCATCATGAGTCTGCAGATAGTTTGCTAGTTTATCTACATGTATTCCGGGTAGAGCGCGGCTCAACTGTGCAGCTTGGGCTTGCAACAGATTTGAGGCAACATTCACCAAGGACGTGTAGCACGTGATGATGAAATTCTTTCTTATAATATGCAAGAAGAAGCAAATGTAATAGAAAATAATCTGGATCTGATGGCAGTAATCATCAAATATCATAGCAAACATTGTCAGATGCAGGATATAGAAAGTTGAGCTGCCCAAGCAAAGGCGGTACAGCCAGCGGGGGCATGGCAATGCCTCGGTGTTCAAAAGTAGCCGTTGCGCCAGCAGCGACATTCGCTGCAGTAGCACGCGTTGCCTTTGCTGCCGGGAACGCAGGCATATGTTGAGCAATATCTGTATAATCGGTGGCATCAATAGGTGTAGATAGTAGAATGCTTTGACGGGCTTGGATATCATTTCCGGATTGTAAACACACTGCCCAGTCAGAGTGCCATGCAAAGAGCCACACACAATGAGCAGCACCAATAGCTGACTTAAACCCGAATAGCAATCGAAGTGTACGATATAGCGCTGAAGCTGCTTCGAGTAGTCTATATCGTTCAAGCCGAAGTAACGTTGATAACGTAGGAAACCCAGCAGTTTTCTGTCCTTCGATTTTAGGAACATTTTCAAAACACTTGCGTCTTAGTAAAGGCTTTGGGAATAACTGAATGTATTGAAATTTCTAATGCAGTGAAGTAATAGGATATTATTATATCTATAGTTAGATCTTTTAATTACAATTAATGGCAATATGAGCAAGTTGCCATATTGGCAATTGAAAGGAATATACGCTAATATGACTCTCATTTGTCTACTATAACGACTGCTGATTATCTAATTGTTGTCTAGTCGAGTAAACTGGAATGTAATATACCCTGTAATTGAAATAATATATCCTCTTATATGATTGTTATGCGCCTTGTGTAAATTATGATATGCGATAGATGGAAACAAGTATTTGGGTTAAGTATACAAAGTTAGTATAAAAGTCGACTGTTGTATACCCTATAAAAAAAGAAACTTTGTATATTTTGATAACCTAAAGTTAGATCTTTTAATTTTAATTAATATAAAATTAAAGTCCCTTACAAAGGCGTTATTTAATATCGCCATTCGACTGTAGTATACCCTGTAGTTCAATAGCAATTTAGATATATGTGTATATTATCATATGCTACGGATAGATTCATGAATTTCAGTACATAGTAAAGTACATAGGCATTGTTCAATATAGATACTCGACTATAATATACCCTGTAGTTCATAAGAAACTTTGATATTTATGTGTGTTATGATCTGCCAAAGATAGATAGATAGATCCCTGAATTTCAGTTACTATAAAAAGTGCTCAATATACTAATTATAATATACCCTGTAATTAAAAAAACTTTGATACACATATTATGATATCGATATGATATGACTGTCAGATTATAGTCTAATCATATGCCTTCTACTCGAAGAAAATATACCCTGTAATTAAAAAAACACTTTGCTTAAGTAAAGTTGTTAAATTTGCCGACTATAATATACCCTCTAGTTCAAAGGAAATGACTATTGAATGAGAAAACCTATGCAATGCTCGACTGGTCTTCAGTAATAGTTTCCAGCCCTTCGCTAATCGATATCAAATAAAAATTTATAAAGTTGTAGAGATCGACTCACCTGATTGCCCACATGGTTCATTGTTAACGGCAGGTATATATACAATATATTTAGGGCCATGCAATAAAGAATAACCACGACTTCCACATATGAGAAGCGACTCTCCAATGTAGCCAAGTAACTGATGTAAACGCAGTTCTGGCATAGATGTAGGATACTCAGCAGCATGGCGATGCCAAAGGCGTCAACAAGCTCCTCTTGACATAACAACAAGAGCTCATCATGAATGCTCAAATGGTTGGCCAACTGCTCTGGGAATAGATGCAGAGACTCCTCCCGCATCAGCTGCTCAGCATGTGCTTGCAGCAGGCTTGACATAACACTCGTCAAGGACGTATAGCAAATGATGATAAAGAAGGTGCGCACGATGTCCAGAATAGAGCAGACATAATAGATAACCACGTCAAGCTGTGGACAGGTGTGCCAGAATGCCGCTGCAAAAATGGTCATATGCAGAGAGTAGAGCAAGCTGGTGCATAGCCAGAGGCGGAACAGCCAACGGGGCCGTGACAATTTCTGTGTATCCAAAAGCAAACGTTGGCTCCACCAAGACATTCCCTGTAGCAGCTTCAACTGACTTTGTTCTCGTATGCGCAGCAAAATAGTGAATAAAATTTGTAAAACTGGCGCCGTGAAGATAAATAGATAATAATAAAATTGAACTGCACTGGAAATCATCTCCTCATTAGAAACACACACTCCGCTAATAATTCCATAGAGAGTGGCGCATACGATAGTCAGTAGCAAGAGCAGAGCTGCATAAGTGGAGCAATCGGTTCGGATTGAATAGCCATTAAGCTGCTTCGAGTAGTCAATGTTATTCAATCCCAGATAGCGTTGATAATGTATAAAACTTGAAAGTTTGCGATTTTGCGATTTGAAGAACATTTTCAAAGCACTTGTATTTTGGCAAACGTTGTCAGCTTAACTGAAGCATATATACGTATATATCTTTTGAATAATCCTTAATTTCAATTAGTGCTAATTGTTGTCATTAAAAATGCAAAGTCAAAGTGGAACTCATAACTCAACTGCTTAGTCAGTTTATTGATAAGCAGCCAACTAAAGATAATAAGCACTTTCTCAAATGAAAATCGTTCCCTTAGGCAGCACAATATATTATATAGAAATTGCATATATAAA